GTAGCTGGGATTACAGGCGCGGACTGCCACGCCTGGCTAATTTTTGTATTTTTAATAGAGGTGGGGTTTCACCATGTTGGCCAGGATGGTCTCAATCTCTTGACCTTGTGATCTGCCTGCCTCGGCCTCTCAACGTACTGGGATTACAGGCGTGAGCTGCTGCACCCAGCCTTTACTTTTTTTTTTTTTAAATTTTTTATCTTTCTGACTCAAGATCTAACAGAAAAAACTTTAAATTGCTGTGGTTTCAGATTACATAATACAACTAAACTTGAGGAAACTTCCACTAGTTGAGCTTTAGTGTAGCATCAGAGAAGAGTAACAACAGTACTTGAAAGAGCTGTTAAAATACTCTTCCCTTTTCCAACTACATATGGGGATATATCTCAAACCAACACAGCAAGCACGGCAGGAAGGAGGAAGCAGGGGGCGCAGGGCATGGAGAGTACTGGAAACTGAATAGAACTGGCTGCTCTTGCTGGAGTACCCAACACATCACCCTTCTAGTTGCCTCAAGCTTCTGCCATCACCAGATGTGGAGCATATCTAGCATTTTTCCACGCTTCTGTGGCAGATTCTCCTGGCATGCCCTGAGTAAGGCTTTTATCACTTGGCGAGGCTTTCTTCTGCAGCTTCTTGTCTGTTTTTCAGTTGCTTGTCCACTATTGGACTCCTCAGCTACTTCTTGAACACAACCAGGAGAATACATTTATTTATTTATTTATGCCTTTTCTGTGTTTTTTGGATTTGGTGCTGAGAGGAGTATTGCTGTCCACAGTGAAGATAAAATGGCAGAAATGTTTATGCAGTGAACTCTGTGGCAGCAAAATACATAAAGTGCAAAGACTATTAAGAATATGAGGAGAATTTGATAAAACTACAGTCACAGAGAAGAATTTTAACATGTCTCTCAGCATTTAGCTAATCAAGTGGATAAATCTTTTTTATTATAAAGGATTTGTATTGGAATAACACTACTAACAGGCTTAATTCTGTATCATGGAGACACAGAATACACATTTTGCTGGTATGTCTATGGAACGTTAACAAATTGATTATATACTTCGCCACAAAGAGAATCTCTTAGCATATTTCAAAAGTGGCATCCAATGTGCTTCTTGCTGTTACTCAGTAAAAAAGTCAAATCAATAACAACCAAAAAACTTGAAAATTAAAATACTCTTCTAAATTCTTCGGTCAAAAAAATCCAAATAAATTATGGATGATTTTAGCTGTTAATACAAATGACAATTTTATTAGGGTTCCCCAGAGAAACAGAACAAATATAATATATAGATACTAAGAGGAAATGTATTACGGGAATTGGCTCATGTGATTATGGAGACCAAGGAGTCCCACGACATGCTGTTAGCAGGCTGGAGAGCAGGACAGCTAGTGGTGTGATATAGTCTGAATACAAAGGCCTGAGAACTGGCGGGGATGGGAGTGAGGGGCACACTGGCATTAAGTCCTGGAGTCTGAAGGCCTGAGAACCAGGAGCTCTGATGTCTAAGGGTAGGAGAAGATTGATGTCTCAGCTTAGGAAGAGAGAGAGAATTCGCCCATTGTCCGCCTTTTTGTTCTATTCAGGTCCTTGACAGATTGGATGATGTCTGCCCACGTTGGCAAGGGCGGATCTTCTTTACTCTGTCTAGTGATTCAGATGCTGGTCTCTTCCAGAAATAATATTTTATCAGGTATCTGGGCATCCCCCAGCCCACTCAAGTTGACATAAAATTAACCATCCCAACAGTACTTCTTATTAAAACCTGTGGAAACAACCCAAACCAGGCTCAAGAAAATTCAAAGCTTTAAATGCTTTTTCCTTTTAGCCCCGCATCCTTTAAGATATAACAAAATAATGCATAAATCATAAGTATACTGTTCAATGAGTTTTATACTCATGCAACCACTATCGCAATCAAGATATAGGATAGTTCTATCACTCTTTTTTTTTTCCTGAGGCGAAGTTTCGCTCTTGTTGCCCAGACTGGAGTGCAATGGCACGATCTCGGCTCACCGCAAACCTCTGCCTCCCAGGTTCGAGCGATTCTCCTGCCTTAGCCTCCAGGTAGCTGGAATTACAGGCATGCGCCACCACCCCTGGCTAATTTTGTATTTTTAGTAGAGATGGGGTTTCTCCATGTTGGTCAGGCTGGTCTCAAACTCCCGACCTCAGGTAGTTCGCCCGCCTCAGCCTCCCAAACTGCTGGATTATAGGCATGAGCCACCGCACCCGGCCCAGTTCTATCACTCTTAAAACATTCCCTGGTTCAGGCACTGTAGCTCATGCCTTTAATCCCAGTACCTTGAAGGTCTGAGGCAGGAGGATCACTTAAGCCCAGGAATTTGAGACCAGCCTGGGTGACATAGGGACACCTTGTCTCTACCAAAAAAAAAAAAAATTAAAGGCCAGGTCTGGTGGCTAATGCCTGTAATCCCAGCACTCTTTGGAGGCTGAGGCAGGTGGATCACGAGGTTAAGAGATCAAGGCCATCCTGGCCAGCATGGTGAAACCCTGTCTCTACTAAAAATACAAAAATTAGCAGGGCATGGTGGCGTGCACCTGTAGTCCCAGCAACTCTGGAGGCTGAGGCAGGAGAATTGCTTGAACCGGGGAGGCAGAGGTTGCAGTAAGCCAAGATTGCGCCACTGCACTCCAGCCCCCCCCCAAAAAATAAGAAATACATAATTTGTAAGTGGTTCTCCAGTACTAAAATGCTAAGCCTATATCTAATTTAGAAGACCATTCACTTACCCATTTAAATCTGGCCCCGTCTAGGGTTGATTTTCACGTTTAAAGATTATATGTACGTTTAAGAGTACGTTGTAATCAATTATTTTGAAAACAAGTGACCTATTATCTTTGAAGACACTGCTGCCAAATAGTAACTTGCAATTGCATTTCTTTACTTGTTCTATATTGGGGTAAAGGGATATTTATAAGTGAAAGGTCATAAAATTTGGAGCTTGTTAGAAAGGTGCATAAACACCTCATGTGGGTTCGATTGGTAAGACTTTCCTGGCTGGTCTCCAATTCTTGGGGCATATCTCAACTGTCAGTAAGGAATGAGTTATGTCTATTATCCCAGGCAACATGATTATTTCTGCCCATTTTGTTTCTGCAGGCAGCTCATGGAGGACAGGCATCTCTAATGAAAATATCCGATAGCACCTTGAAGACTGTGCCAGCCACCTCACAGCTCTCAAAGCCTGGAACCACAATGCTGAGAGTAGCAGGAGGGGTTATCACAACTGCCACTTCCCCAGCTGTGGCCCTCTCAGCAAATGGTCCTGCACAACAGGTGAGAAATAGCACGTCAGTAGAGAATCCTAATGAAACATGAAGGTGGTATAAATACACAGAAGATGTCCAGTAGGCACACCAGTGGGCCTTTTTAAAATACTGAACTATTGCTTTTTTTTTTTTTTTTAAAAAAAAAAAAGAAATATTCACATACCATAGAAGTCCCCATTTTATAGTATACAGTTCAGTAGTGCTTGTTACCATTCACATGGTTGTGCAGCTCTCATTACCATCATCTAATCCCAGAATATTTTATCCCAAAAAGAAGCCCAGTACCCATCAGCACTCACGCCCATTCCACCTTCTGTAGTTCTAGGCAACCGCTGACCTACTTTCTTTCTCTGGATTTGCCTATTTTAGACATTGCATATAAAGGGAGTCATAGAACATGCCCTTTTGGGTCTCTTCTGGTGCTTAGCGTTACTTTTCAGAGTTCATCCATGTTGTGACTTGCATCAGTACTCCTTTCTTTTCGTGGCTGGATAATACCCAGTTTGATGGATATACCATATTTTGTTTACCCATTCATCAGTTGATGGGCGCTGGAATTATTTTCTACTTTTTGAATAATGCTGCGGTGAATATTTGTCTACAGGTTTTTGTATAAACACATTTCTGTTTCTCTTGGCTGTATACCCAGGGATGGAATTGCTGGATTATATGGTAACTCTTTTTTTTTTTTTTTTTTTTGAGATGAAGTCTTGCTCTTGTCGCCAGGCTGGAGTGCAGTGGCGAGATCTCAGCTTACTGCAACCTCCATCTCCCGGGTTCAAGCAATTCCCCTGCCTCAGCCTCCTGAGTAGCTGGGACTACAGGTGCACACCACCACGTCTGGCTAATTTTTTGTATTTTAGTAGAGACAGGGTTTCACCGTGTTGGCCAGAGTGGTCTTGATCTCCTGACCTCATGATCCGCCCACCTCAGCCTCCCAAAGTGCTAGGATTACAGGCGTGAGCCACTGCTCCCAGCCTACAGTAACATTTTCTGGAACTGCTAAACTGTTTTCCCAAGTGGCTACATCATTTTAGATTTCCACCAGCAATATACGAGGGTTCCAGTTTTTCCACAAACTCACCCAAACTTGTTCTTGTCCTTTTTTTTTTTTTTCATTATAGCCATTGTAGTGGGTGTAAACTAGTGTCTCACTGTGGTTTTGATTTGCAGTTCCCTGATAGTTAATGATATTGAGCATCTTTTCATGTATTTACTGGCTGTTTGTATATCTTTTATCCATTTACATCCTTTGCCCATTTTTTAGTTGGTTGTCTTTTAATCATTGAGGTATAGGAGTGCTTTATGTATTCTAGATATGTCTCTTACCAGATTTGCAAAAATTTTCTCGTACTCTGAGCTGTCTTTTCACTTACTGATAGTATTGAACCATGCCCAGCTAGTTAAACCATGCCCACCACTGTGCCCAGCTAATTAAAAACAAAAGTTTCTAATTTTGGTTTTCATTCCTTTTTTTAAAAAATGTCAATTATGATGGGTCCGTAATCAGTGTAGATATTCACAGGGTACACGTGATGTTTTGATGCAGGCGTACAGCACGTAATAACCTCATCGGGGTCATTGGGATATCTGTCACTTCAAGCATTTATCTTTTTTTAAAACCAATTCTGCTCTTTGTTACTATAAAATATATAAGAAATTATTGCGAATTTTGGTCACCCTGTTGTGCTATCAAATACTAGATCTTACTCATCCCTTCTAACTATATTTTTGTACCCATTAACCATCCCTACTTCCTCCCTCCCTGCTGCTGCCCTTCCCACCTTCTGGTAACCACCATTCTTCTCTGTCTTCATGAGTTCAGTTGTTTTCATTGTTAGCTCCCACACATGAGTGAGAACATGTGAAATGTATTTTTCTGTGCCTGGCTTATTTCACTTAACATAATGTCCTCCAGTTCTATCCATGTTGCAAATGACAGGATTTCATTCTTTCTTATGGCTGAATAATATTGCATCATGTATCTGTATCACATTTTCTTTATCATTCACCTGGTGGTGGACACTTAGGTTGATTCCAAATCTTGGCTATTGTGAATAGTGCTGTAATAAACATGGGAGTGCAGATAGCTCTTCGTATACTAATCTCCTTTCTTTTGGGTACATACCTAGCAGTGGGATGTGGATCATATGGTATTTCTATTTTCAGTCTCTTGAGGACCCTCTGTATGTTCTCTATCGTGGTTGTGGTAACTTACATTCCCACCAGCAGTGCACGAGGGTTCCCTCTTCTCCATATCCTCATCACCAGCCGGTCTTTTGGATGAAAGCCATTTTAACTGGGTGGGATGATTTCTCATTATAATTCTGATTTGTGTTTCTGTGACAATTAATGATGTTGAACATTTTTTTATTTGCCTGTTGGGCCATTTATGTGTCTTCTTTTGAGAAATGTCTGTTCAGATCTGTTGCCCATTTTCAAATGAGATTATTTGACTTTTTTCTATAGAGTTGTTTGAGCTTCTTGTATATTCTGATTATTAATCCTTTGTCAGATGTGTATGTAGTTGGCGAGTATTTCCTCCCATTCTGTGGGTTGTGTCTTTGTTAATTGTTTTCTTTGCTCTGCAGAAGCTTTTTAACTTGATGTGATCCCATTTATACATTTTTGTTTTGGTTGCCTGTGCTTTTGAGGTATTGCTCAAGAAATCTTTGCCCAAACCAATGTCCTGGAGAGTTTCCCTAATGTTTTCTTGTAGTAGTTTCATAGTTTGATGTCTTAGATTTAAGTCTTTAATCCATTTTGATTGCATAGTGAGAGCTAGGTGGTCTAGTTACATTCTTCTGCATAAAGATATCCAGTTTTCCCAGCACAAGTTTTAATAAAAGTCCCAATTTACCTATTTTTCTTTTATTGCTTGTTCTTTTGATGTCACATCTGAAAAACCTTTGCCTAATCCAAAGCCACAAAATTTAAGCCTGTGTTTTCTTCTAAGAGTTTTATACATTTAGCTCTTATATTTAGGCTTCAGATTCATTTGGGTTTTTTTTTTTTTTGTGATGGAGTCTCATTCTGTCGCCCAGGCTGGAGTGCAGTGGTACGATTTCCGCTCACTGCAACCTCTGCCTCCCGAATTGAAGCGATTCTCCTGCGTCAGCCTCGCAAGTAGCTGGGACTACAGGCACCCACCACCATGCCCAGCTAATTTTTTTTTTTTTTTTGTATTTTTAGTAGACATGGGGTTTCACGGTGTTAGCCAGGATGGTCTTGATCTCCTGACCTCGTGATTCATCCGCCTTGGCCTGCCATAGGCATAAGCCACCATGCCCAGCCACTCGAATTAATTTTTGTACATGGTGTGAGGTAGACACCAAACTTTATTCTTTTTTATGTAAATATCCAGTTGGCCTAGAAACATTTATTGAAAAACCATCTCTCAGCTGTCTTGGAAGCCCACAGACTTGAATGATGTGACTTGACTTCTCAAGCTTCATCTCCTGCAGCTGCTGCTTCTCCTCCTGTGCCTCTTCACGAGTCATACCACTGTGCTTTGCAGTTCCTTGAACATACAGTGTTCTTTCATGCCTCACCAACTTTCTACATACTCTCCTTTGCCAAGAAACCCTGGCATCTCTCCCTTTCTCTGTCTTGAATCTGGAAGATTCCCCTAAAGTGCCTGATGTTTTACCTGAAGCTGTTTCCTGTACCCTCCCCTTTCTATTCCTAGGCAGAAGCAGTACCTTTCTTCTTGGTTGTATTGGTGACATTTGCCTGTGCTTGCCATAGCATCATCATACTTAGGTGACTGTTTCCGTGGTAGCTTTTATCTCAGAGCCTTAGCACTTAACCATTATGCCGGCCATGCAGTAGATGTTTGTTGAATGAAGTGACAGACTTTAAACATTGTCACGTATTCTTAATAAAGCTCATTTTTAGTCCATGTGTATATTCTGAGAATATGTCCTCCTAATTTTTTGGTGATGAAATTGCCTTTTATAAAGGGATATAGGCTAGGCGCAGTGGCTCACGCCTGTAATCCCAGCACTTTGGGAGGCTGAGGCGGGCGGATCACGAGGTCAGGAGATCGAGACCATCCTGGCGAACATGGTGAAACCCC